ATAATATTTTACCGCAGATTACTACACTTGGACCCAAAATTATTCATTTATCGAGTTCGTGTTTTTTGTTATATATTTGACTAAAAATCGATGCATTTTTTTGATATCGCTATATATCAACTAAAAAAAATAATTTGAACTTTCGAAAATATATTGGGATAATATAATTTTGTTAACTGATAGATTTATAGCATAAAAAACCAAATACAAAAAATGAGCAAACAAAGTGCATAACTCGAGCGGGGAAACCGATGACTATTCAAGTGACCTAGTAATAATATATCCGAAAGCGGATCAGAGAATTGCAGTGACTATAGTTCCGATTACAAATCAGATAATGAAACAAATACTATGAGTCTCCAATATTCCAACCTCCTAAAGTAAAAGAACTAATGTCTAATATGACATATTCCACAAAGCAAGTGGGCCCCACATATTCCAAAAAGCAAGAAAGATTCGATGATAAATTTACATAAAAAGATGTAATGAATAAAATCTATGAAATCGTTTCTTCGCCTACCAGAGATATGTCGAACAATAAAGGATCATTAGAAGATATACATTTATGGGATTATCTCTTACCTAATTACGAAGCAAAAGAAGGAATTAGTCTGCAGATGCATATACATAGGGGGAGTTAGCAGATAAATTAGTTATACAGGTAGAACAAGGTAAATACAAAAAATTCTCAGTTGTAGATGATATCTCAGAAGTGTATGGATTACCTGGAATTCACGAATGTATTAATGGCCAAAATCCACTAAGACCAGTAATTTATATTGACGCATCTAAAGAAAAAATGGAAGCTGAAAACGTTAATACTAAAAATGTGTTTTTCAACATTTGTTGTTCATTTGTAAGAGCATTATATCGAATTCTTGATTGTAGTTGGGAAGAAATCATTAAAGGATTGGTGATTATGACATCATCTGATGATAGTAAATGCGGTTATCACCTTCTATACGCTCCAACTCTTCTTGTTGATTATCAGGAGCTCAAAGAATTTACGGAATTAGTGTATAAATTAACAGGGAAAAAATATAAAAAGTTTATTGACAGGGGATTACCAGGACGGAATTTTAATCTTCGTCTTATTGGTTCAGCAAAAAAAGGTCGTGTAAAGTGCATACTCCAATTCTCGCTAGACAATGGGTAAAGCGATCTCAATGACAGTCGAGTTCAACCACCTACTAGTTTGAAATATGAAGTAAGGCCCTGTATACTTAGTATAGAAAAAAATAAATAATTAGAAAAAAATAATAGTGGACCAAGATACGTTAAAAAAATATGCAAATCTAGTTCTGCAGAAATATTCTGGTTATCTCGGAAGTTGGAATATCGAAGAAAAAAATTCTCAATATTTCATATACTTTAGCCGAAAAGCATATCTAGAATGTCCACTATGTAATCACATACACGACAAAGATCAGCGGTGGTTTGGTCATGCATATGGTAATGGGTCATTCGTTGTGAAATGTTTTCAACAAAATAGAGATGAACGGGAAATAATTTTCAACGACCCATCTATTGCAGAAAAAATCCAGCAAAAAAATAAAAATAATACCCCACCACTTGTTTCTTATAAAATAAAGGCCCCTAAGTTCCCAAAACCTTTCTTAGAAATGCCGGGTTGAGTTAAATATGACGAACCTCTTACTACATCAGAAAGATATGAAGAAAGATATGTGAAACCTCTATCTAAAGAAAACGATATTTATATAGGATCGCATTGGGGAACAGGGAAAACATTATGCTAAGGAAATTTTAAATATTCCTGAAAATACAAGCTTACTCGTAGTATCGACTTGACACACATATTCGGATGCTATTACTACTAGGCTCAATCTCAAATCAAATTGTGATACTGTATTGATGGATCTATAAATCTGAGAGAGTATCAAAGGGTAGTATATCAGGTGGAAAGTTTACATCGCATTATTAATAAATGTAAATGTGGTAAAAAATGTAAATGTCCTCCAAATCCATACATTCTAGTATTAGATGAAATTGTATCAATTATTGCATAAACACAAACTCGTTTAAGTGGTTTATCTACAGTATATCTCTTGCCAATTTCTCAGAATTAATTACTCAGGCAGAAAGAGTTATTGTATTAGATAATGATCTCACTAACCTTAATATTGAATGGATTAAAGGACTTCGATTAAATAGGAAATATTCAGTTATCCACAACATATATCAGCCTCAAAAAGATAAAACATTCCGTCTACTTCTGATAAAGAAACTGTTATTAATAGAGCTCTGGGAATGGGCCAAGCAAATGTCATCATTACCTTTTGAGGAGCAAAAAAGTGCGTCACTTATCTGCCATGAGAGAAGGAATATTCAGGGTATTGTGCGTAGTCTTAAAGAGGAGTTCCCAAATTTACGTATAAAAGAATATCATGGTAAGTCTGATCCAATAGAAAAGACTCGAGATTTCAGAGATGTAGAAAAGGCGTGGAAAAATATTGATCTGGTTGCATATACTAGTACATTAAAAATAGGAATTTCTTGTACCAACCCCAAGTTTGACCGTGCATTCTGTCTCTTTAATAGTTACAGTATATAGAAACAAATGCTGGGACTAATCAGATGTTATTTTGCATGCGTTGTCTTAAAGATTATATATGTTATATTCAACAAAGAACATCTAAAGTTCCAATTACAGAAGAGGAGTTGTTTCAATGGTTGACAGAAGCAAAATACGGATGCCTCCCTCAAGAGCTTCAGAATAGAGGAATATTTCCAAGTATAGATACTATTATTCGAAATAAAGATGTCCCGACTATCCGATTATGGGTGGCATATATGTTGGAAAAATTCCGCTCTAAATCGAGCATCACGAGTCTGGATTTCTTGGATGAGTTGTTGTTTAACGGCTTGAATTACAAACCAAACGCCGGCTAAGACTAAGATAAGTACTGCATCTGAAAAATCGATTCAAGACATTTTTTCGTTTGCGAAATGGTGTGTTTTGGATATGCTAGCTTTACTAAGAGTTTGGATCGCAAAAATTAATTTTATATGTCCCGCCTTCTCGTGTTTTTCACTCGAAGCCAGATATATTGTTAGGAGTGACGTGGGGAATTTTATAAGCGGGTTGGTACAAAGTGTTGGGCTTTATTTTCACTTTTTGTATGTGATGCGATCAGGAAGAGTCAACAACAAAAAAATATTTACTCGTAAAGTCAATAACGAAATTTGGAAAAGCTGATAAGTCAAACTTTGAAACTTTTAATTGTAAACATATAAACATTCGTTTATACTGATGCACAATTTTACACACCCCACTCATAAACAGTATATGGTTAAACTAACAAAATCATGAAACGTGAAAAACTTTATTAACGATGCTGAAAATAAGCACAAATACTTATTTAGTATAAAATCAAACTACGTACGTAGATCTAAATCATCTAATTTACTTTTTCATATGTACAGATAAATAATTTTCGTTTTTTGTTGGTGTATCTGCAGTTGGACGTAACCATGTTGAATAGTTTGTTTGAAGCGGTGTGGTATTGTATCTCTCACCCAACAAATCTATCGCATTTTCCTAAATTATACTCTACGGTTAGCATACGTTAAACATACAACACATAATTCCAAAAATATCAAAAAACTAACCCGAATACTAATCAATACTTGATGAAGCTTTATAAGTGACTCCAGATCTCTAACAGTTTTTGGTATGGAGCACGATTCCACCTCAACAAGTAAATATATTCCGGGGCAATATAATGTCATAACACAAACTTCCATTTTGTGGCCATTGATAAAAATAACAATTTGGTTCGTTTCATTTGGGCGCATCTCTCGTTGTTTGATGTTTAAATCTATAGAGTCCTTGGCGTGTATGGAACCACGGTAAATATCCCAATAAAATTTATGCTTCTCATCCTGTCGTTTGGGACTTGTTACTTCGCAGGAAACACCTACGCAGGTCTCATCCTTATTTTTCAACATATAGTCAGGCAATCTACCACGACCTCGACGTTATTTAAATGCTTCTGACTTTGTATCGATCCTATGGGAATAAAACAGTCATAAATCAATCCTTTTTTACAAAAAATCAATCGATTCACACAAAATAATCTCATACCATGAGTGAATTGTGACATAGTTAAAGTAATGGATGGTCTTATTAAACAGTGGCCCAATGTAGTCTACAATGAATGTTCCTTCATTCACTTTATTCACATCTACCAAAGGATTCCAAGTGGCACATTCTTCTAATAAACTGAAAAATGTTTCATTCAATAAATTCCCACTATATTTCACAGCAGACAATTTAATGAATCTTGACATTTCTTCCTGAGAATCTCGTTGAAATTTCTGACGAAAATATAATAAACCAAAATAAGAATGATTCACTTCAACTATTATACAAAAAATTAAAATTACAAACCTTTTTATTCTCATTCATGAAATTTATCAATTCCTGCGGAGTTGTAATTTTTACAAATTTGGAGATGATATCTGACCGAATTTTAGAAATTTCATTTTCTGATAAAAAATCCAGATAGGATTGCTCATTTCGTTGTTGGAAATAAAATATTGATGAAACAGATAACAGATGATGGATATTTTGTTCTTCTGGAATATGAATTCCATGACATATTTGTTCAAGGTTGCTCTGTTGCCATCTCAACAATTTAATTACTAATTCGTCGGTCGTACTTATCATAGATTCCGTAACTATCTCCTTGATTGTCGATATATCAGAAGATTTGAAAAACAATTCAGTTTCCTCGTCATAATTTTCCTGTAGAGAAATCAAACGGTTAATATGATAATTAGATTCAAGTATTTATAAGATTCAACGTATATTTCCTAACATTTCTTATACCTCAAATCTTATGTTATCAATCTCTGGTCTATCATCTCTGTACTTGCTCGCATGATGTGGTGGTCGTAATTCAGGTTGTGTTATGCGTATTCTCTAAATGTAAATTTCCAAAGTTGATACACGAACTAGTATGAATACACTAAGAATCAGAATGGCATATTGCGTACTTTTTTCAGGCTCATGATCAGATTCTTGTTCGGAATAGTCCGGGATATTTCTCCCATATCTTGTTTGACGTCGATTTTGCTTTTGAGTGGGCTCCAATATGTCCTCCCTCTCAGATTCCAATTCGTTTTTTAAAATCTGGTACCGTCTTTTTCCAATAAGAGCAGAGTGATTTGTCTCTTCTTCGGATTTATTGACAACATACTTGAGCTATAGAAAGATGTCAATTTATATAATTTATATAGTAAATATGCACAACATTACGTGAACTCACATCCGAAATTGCCATCTGCAATTTAGTTTCCTTCGATATTGTTTTTAGACGATTATTAAAATACATCCTTCTACGTTCTTCCCAAAATTTCTCAACGCTGTATGATTTTTTATCCCTCTTAAAAGATTAACTCAATGCAGTTAGTATTGAATTATGCAAAATTTGATCATGCTTTCGTGCAATTCCCATTGATATCCTTAGAGTTGTTACTCAAATAAAATTTCTTGTTCGTTCATCAAAATGCTTGGGCGCCATTGACAAACTAAACAAGCAACAGGGACTTATGCATTGATCTGGCTCAGGGACCAACCAATGTGTTCGGCAACAGACAGTGGCATCCTACCAAGACCCAATAATGGAACAGAGGATCAAGGCTCGGTATACAAATTCCAAACATTCTGACAAGTATTTACATTCGTTATATTACTTAAGAAAAAAGTGCTGAGTTGTTGTATGATGGCTTAATTGAAAAAAAAAAACCAATAAAATAATAAAACAATTTAAGCATTTTCACCTTGAAATTGGATAATAATTCTTGAGCCTTTGTCATCTTAGAATTTCCATATGAGCTTGTATTACTAATCTTTTTGAGAAGTGTCTTCCAGGCGCTATGTTCGAATTCCCTGTCTGAAAAATCAGAAAACCTTGATCTCCATTCTAGGAAACTAACAAACGACCAATCCGACAGTTCAACTTCCTCAAAGTAGTTTATTCTTGGAATTGTCTAATATACAGAATAGGAGCAGAGATTTTTTACCAAAAATAAATGACATGGGGGTGCCGCTCATGCGTCACCCTTACGGCACTTGTGCGTCAC